CCTCGGCAGGGGAGCCTTGGCCTCTGCTCACCTGGGTGAGTTTTCCCTCAGTTGGTGTCACAGTTATATGCACGTTTCTATTTGATCCTTGGCTGTTATTTTCTAAGATAGGAGTTTTAGACCCAGCCTTGCCACTGACTTTGTGCGACACTTAAACTCTCTGAGCCTTCATTGCCTCAATGCTTAAATGAAAGGATAAGATTGGCTTTTTGGTCCTTCTACCTCTGAGTTCTATAAATTAGTAACTCCTATTGCTCTTGCTCTCCACCAACTAAATTAACTTTTTCCTGAGGCCAAGCACTGTGCTTTAATAGTCACCTAAGCCGGTAGTGAAGTCAGTGCTCTGTATGCAGTTGATGCTCAGTTGGAATGAGTAATTGACAGATCGACAACTTTTTCTACTTTCTGTAAGTCTTGTAAACAAAGATTCCCAAAATGCTTGGAAAGTAACTTAAATCTTTCATTCTCTTAGTGGTAGAATTGAATACTACAAAATTTAAAAACTTAGTTCACTATTTAGTATGTTTGTTAAAACACACAAAATGACTTTAATATTTCTGGAAACATTGTTGAATAAACCAAGAAAAATGTAAAAATTAGATTTTTGCTTTTTGAATGGCATCTGGATATGGCGTATTTCCTCCTATTGCCCACATATTAACTACCCATTTCTGCTATTATAGAAAAGCACCGAGGATTTGCTTTTGTTGAATCTGAGTTGGCAGAGGTAAGAAATTTTCCCTGGTTAGTATTTGACTAGTGTTGCTGTTGTCATTGGTTACAAAAGGTGCCACTCTCTATTTGAGCGGATGTAGTAATTTTCTGGGGCTGCCATACAAATTACTACAAACTTTGTGGCTTAAGAAAACAGAAATTTATTCTCATAACTTGGAGTCTAGAAGTCTGAAATCAAGGTATTGGCAGGGCCGCGTCCCTCTGAGGAGTCTTTCCTTGAGTCTTCCTAGCAATCCTTGGCATTTTTTTGGCTTATAACTGCATCACTTCAGTCTCTGCCCCCGTCTTCACATGGTCTTTTCCACTGCGTGTATCTCTCTGTCTTCTCTTCTTATGAGGACACTAGTCATTGGAGTTATGGCCCACCCTAATTCATTATGACCTCATCTTAACTAATTTCATCTGCAAAGAGTATTTCTAAACAGGGTCACATCCTGAGGTTTGGATAGACCTGAAATTTGGGGGGACACTATTCAACCCTCTATAGTGGCTTGGTGGTGACAGTTGCCAAGAGACAGGAAGTTCTGGTTGAAGGAAGGCCCACAGGCCCTGGTTCAGAGTTCCCTTCATGTTGTCAGAATGTGAAAGACAGGCCCTGCAGAGCCCTGAGCCTTCTGACCTGGCGCTGCTCTTTCCTATTTCCTGTGTGTATTCTGTCTCCATAACCTGAGCACCCATCTTTACACCACCAGCTCCAACAAGCAGTTAGTACATGCTCTTTGTTAAATACATACAATCTAGGCCATAGGAAGGGAAGTAGCATCTTTTTTTCCAAAGCTTGTGGTACTGAGTTTTAATTTGCGTGCTAGCTACAAAAAGAGTTGAACTACACACATCAACCTTTTCCTTGTATTCTTTTGGCAGGATGCCGAAGCAACTATCAAAAACATGGTATGGCTGAGAATCTTGCTTTTCACTGAAGCTGTTTTTTGGTGCTACATGGGACCCTGATGCACATACTGTGTTTCCAGTTTCCACAGTTTCAAAGTTATAGAGGAAGCAGAAGTTGCCGTTATTTGAAAGTATTCACTAGGAACTGGCTGTTTATAAAATTAATTCTTATTCAGAAATCCTCCCCATTTAACATTTGTATAAATGTCAACCATCTTATTGGCCAATCTCTCCCTGACATTTTTATATCTATGTCAGGAGTAAGCAAACTAAGTCTATGGGCCAAATCCATTCTGCAGGCTGTTTTTTTGTTTGTTTGTTTGTTTTTGTTTTTTGTGGTACACAGGCCTCTCACTGTTGTGGCCTCTCCTGTTGCGGAGCACAGGCTCCGGACTCGCAGGCTCAGTGGCCATGGCTCACGGGCCCAGCTGCTCCGCGGCATGTGGGATCTTCCCAGACTGGGGCACGAACCCGTGTCCCCTGCATTGGCAGGTGGACTCTCAACCACTGCGCCACCAGGGAAGCCCTGCAGGCTGTTTTTTATATGGCCTATGAATTAAATGGTTTTTATACTTTTAAGGGTCATAAAAAAAAAAAAAGAAAAAGATGCAGCAGAGACTGTATGTATCCCACAATGCCTAAAATATTTACTATCTAGCCCTTTACAGAAAGTTTGCCAACCTGTAGGCTAGGGCAATATACTGCAAATAGAGTGTAACTTGACTGCAAGGTGAAATGGTGAATCTTGTATAAAAGGCAGGGTCTCATGAAGCGTATGGAAGGGATTGTGGAAAACTTCTGTAGTTGGCTCTAGTCAAAAATGTGAGGCTTTTTTGAGCCATTGAATAGTGATGCTCTCATAAAGTTAAACCAATTAACAACTGAGAAAGAGAAAACCCATAGAAGGATTATGACAGGTTGGGTACTTCAAAAGAAAAGGATTTGAATTCCTGTTGCTGAATTACCACAAATTTGGTGGCTCAAAAACAACACTAATGTGTTATCTTACAGTTCTGGAGGTCAAAAGTCCAAAGTGAGTCTCACTTTGGAGCTAAAATGAAGATTTCAGCAGAGTTGTGTTCCTTCTTGGGGCTATAGGGGAGAATGTTTCTTTGCCTTTTTCTCAGCTTCTAGAGAATGGCTATATTCCTTGATTCTTAGCCCCTTCTGTCTTCAAGCTGGCAATGGCAGGGTGAGTTTTTTTCACAGCGCATCACTCTGAAACAAAGTCCTCTGTCTCCCTCTTCACATTTAGAGGATCCTTGTGATTACGTTGGGCCCATCTGAATAATCCAGGATAATATCCTTATTTTAAGGTCAGCTGACTAGCAACCTTAATTCCTTTTTGCCACGTAATATCACATATTCATAGGTGCTGGGGAGTAGGTGGACATCTTTGTTTGTTTAATATTTATTTATTTACTTAGGCTGCACTGGGTCTTGGTTGCGGCACGTGGGATCTTCACTGAGACATGTTTAGTTGCAGCATGTGGGATCTTTAGTTGTGGCATGCGGACTTCTTAGTTGCGGCATGCATGTGGGATCTGGTTCCCTGACCAGGGGTCGAAGCCGGGCCCCCTGCATTGGGAGAGCAGAGTCTTACCCACTGGACCACCAGGGAAGTCCCTAGGTGGACATCTTTGGGCAGGCCATTAGTTTGCCTGCCATAAAACCCTTAAATGCTTTTGCCCTTGTTAAAAACCTTTGTGATCACTCTTCATGACTAAATGTGAAATAAGGATGTTATTTCATGCCATCATTCAGTTTTTTCTTAATCACTAGAAATAAAGTTAGTACTTTATTTGTCTGTTTCTAAGAACAAAGACATAGCTATAATTGTAACCTAAATCTTATTAAATTAAGGAATCCTTTTTTCTTTCTTTTTTTAGTTTTCATGAAAAGGCCCCAAACAAAACTTTTTTTTTTTTCCCAAGTATTTTATAAATTTATTTATTTATTTTTGGCTGCATTGGGTCTTCGTTGTTGCGCGCTGGCCCTCTCTAGTTGTGGCGAGCAGGGGCTGCTCTTCGCTGCGGTGCCCGGGCTTCTCACTGCGGTGGCCTCTCTTGTTGTGGACCACGGGCTCTAAGCACTTGGGCTCAGTAGTTGTGGCTCACGGGCTCTAGAGCTCAGGCTCAGCAGTTGTGGCACACGGGCCTAGTTGCTCCGCGGCATGTGGGATCCTCCCAGACCAGGGCTTGAACCTGTGTCCCCTGCATTGGCAGGCAGATTCCTAACCACTGCACCACGAGGGAAGTCCCACAAACCTTTTTTAAAAAGCTGTCTACCCACCTTTTCCTGGTATCAGTTATTCTTGGATTTTGAAATATTCTTAAATGTTATTCCATGTTACCATGTTCTCTGTCATTCTTTCATCAAACATGCCCCTCAGCAGTCAGCAATACTATCATTTTCCAGTTCAGTACTGCTCTTGTCTTTTTAAGGTGGACTCAGGTATTTGGTAACTGCGTTTACCCTTTTAATTTCAGAGTCCTGAGCTCAGATCCAAAGATGATGCCGTCACAGACCTTTCTGTTGTTGTTGGTGAAATAGAGGAGGTGTGTGGTGGCTCAGGGGCTTTCTGTGGTGAGCTTTGTGCTTAGCTGGCCATTGGAGGTTGCAGGCTCCCAACTTAGGGCTAATCATGAGCAAGTCTCAGGCTTCTTGGAAGCAAATGGAAGGCTGCCAGGTCTTCTTTCAGCCTAGCAAGGTTTAAGCAGCTGAGTTGTATTGCACCCTTTGCAGAATGAATCTGAAATGTTTGGGCGGACAATCCATGTCAGTTTGGCCAAAGCAGTGAGAATTAAGGAAGGCTTGTCCAGACCAGGTAAGTGGGGGCAACCACAGATACCCCATCACGTCCTCAGCTGTGGCCTCTGTTGCATTTTTATCTCTGTCTTACTTCCTGCTGTGGGGTAATGTGTACATGAGTAGAGTGGTGTAGAGTAGAGAAGAGAATGCAGCACCTCCAAGGAAGTAAAGAGTTTGAGTTTCTCAGAAAGCTAGAGGCCTTGTCCCCATGAAAGTCTTGCTTTGGGACATAGACATAGACTGTGCCCTTCCAGCCTTGACAAGGGCTGGGACTTCCCTTTTGACACGGCTGAGTCCTTCCTCCTTATTCTCACCCACCTGTGCTAAGAGCTGGACTTGAAGGCCTGACATTTCCCAGTGACAGCTTTCATTGCCCTGGGGAGTTCCTAAGATGTAACTTCTTTTCTATGACCTGTGAGAGCCACGTAGTGTGTCCATGTAGTGAGTCCACGTTATGCATCCACGTAGTGCTGACCAAAGCAGCAAAGAATTGGACATGGCTAATGAGCAGTTGGCTGATAGCTTGAGTTTCTTAACATCTGTTTGATTCTTTCCTTTCATTTTTGTCAGATGATGACTGGTTGAAAATGTTTTCTAGGAAGACTCTTGAAGAGAGGAAAGAGGAAGAAGGGTCAGAGCCTCCCAAAGTGGAAACCCAGGAGGTGAGATTGCAGGCTGCGCTTCCAGAGAGGCTGGCGCTCTGCACCGAGCACACTTCTGCTGTGGATGGTGTTGGGGGAATTGAATGGAGAAAGTGTGGGTGTCTTGTCCTTGTAGGGCACTGGGTGAGAAATGCCTTATGTGTGCTTGGTGTCGATTTGTGATGGCTGTTCAATGAGGGGGTATCTCAGATGAGAGAGGACACCACCAGTACCCGTCATCCACCGATCTTGCCCGCTCCATCACTGAAGACTTTGGCTCCAGACTCCCTGTCTTCCTGCTCCTACCCTGATTCCACAGAGGCCCTTACCCAGGCCCAGGGCTCCCCACGCCTGGGCGCTTTCTCCTGCTTCTTGACACACATCTTGACCCTTGCTCCTCAGAATAATACAGGGGCTCCTTCTCCTCTGTCCACCCTTTCCACAGTGGTGTTTCTCTGAGTTCCTTCCATAGCGCTCGCCTCCTTTCTCCACACTGTCCTTGTGCATTTCAGCCACTTTTATCCCTTGTCTGAGATTATCACAGCCACTCAGGCAGGGTTCTGGTGATTTCTTTATCTCTAGTCCTAGCCCTGACCTCTCTCCTGGGTTTCACATACTTCTGCCTGAATGTCTCACAGTCACCATAAATAAACAAAGCACATCCCAGGTGGATTTCCTTTTTCCTTTCACTGTGGTCTCCCTGAATGCCTGATTTTAGCTAATTTTGCTGCCTTCTGGTCACTCAAACCAGAAGCTTCAGTTTATTTTAATTCACACATGATGCGTTGCCATATTCTGCTTATTTTATCTTTTAAGTCTTCCTGACTCTTGCCTCTCTTGTTTGTTCCTACTACATTATCTTGGTTTAGCCTCCATCTTCTGTCCTGTGAATAATGATAGTAGCTTCCTAACTGGTCTCTCTGTCGCAGGCCTGCTTCCTCCTGATCTGAGTAGCCAGGAGGAGCTTTCTGAAGGATGGATCTGAGGATAATTGCTCTCCACAAGCATTTTAAGGACCTCCCTCACGTATAGGATTAAGTCTGGGCTACATCAGAGGCACAGAAGGGCTCTCCATGTTCTGACCCTGCTCATCTCTTTATATTGTAGCCCATTTTACATTCTAGGAAACAAGAGACTATAGTTACCTATAAATCTGTAGTTATCTACAAATTTATAGTTACCTACAAATCTCATGTGTTGTTTTGTTTTTTTAAATTGGGCCACGCTGCGTGGCTTGCAGGATCTTAGTTCCCAGACCAGGGATTGAGCCTGCTCCCTCGACACTGAAAGTGCGGAATCCTAACCACTGGACCGCCAGGGAGTTCCCAAATCTCTTGTGTTTTTGCATAAGCAGTTCCTTTGCCTAAAATGACCTTTCCAACATAATCTGGCTAATTCCTACTCACCTTTCATCCCTCCCTTCTGGGCTTGCATGGCCTCTGGGCTTCCATGGGACCCACTATCCTAGCATTTACTGCATTGTTTTGACATTACTTATTTAACGTATTTTATTTTATTATTATTATTTTTAAACAGAGAACAGGAGTATTTATTTATTTTAAAAATTATTTATTTATTTTTGGCTGTGTTGGGTCTTCGTTTCTGTGCGAGGGCTTTTCTCTGGTTGTGGCAAGCGAGGGCCACTCTTCATCAAGGTGCACAGGCCTCTCACTATCACGGCCTCTCTTGTTGCGGAGCACAGGCTCCAGACACGCAGGCTCAGTAGTTGTGGCTCACGGGCCTAGCTGCTCCGTGGCATGTGGAATCCTTCCAGACCAGGGCTTGAACCCGTGTCCCCTACATTAGCAGGCAGATTCTCAACCACTGCGCCACCAGGGAAGCCCTATTTAACGTATTTTAAATATTGCTTACTCTTTGCCGGGCACTAATGGCTTTACAAATATTTAATCCTATTGGCAGTCCTTTGAGGTAAGAACTATTATTATCCCCAAGTCTAGGTGATGAAACTAGGGCACAGTGAGGTCCAATAACTTGTGGACGTTACATAGCTCAGAAGTGGTGGGGCTGAGGTTTGAACCAAGGCTGTGGGGCTCTAGGATCTGTGTACCTCTCACAGTTGTGGCTGCCCCTCCCTCACTGAGTAGCCAGTCCTTCAAGGGCAGAAGCCCTATCTTATTTAATAACCTAGGGCTTGGCCTGAGAGCTTATACCTACGTGTTGACCTAATCCACACTACAAAGAGGTCAGACAGAGACAGTAGAGTTTTCTCTGTCAAACAGGTGGGAAGGTTTCTATTGAATGTTTTATCATCTAATCAGCCTTGTCCATTTGGAGCACTAAGCAAGGCCCAACTTCCTCCACTGTCTCCTTTCTGAGCACTTAGGCCCTCCTTGCTTCCACTGCAGCCAGCCTGTGGATATGCAGGGCTGAGCATAGAGGAAGGGGGTGGTGTTGCAGAAGTGGGTCCGTTTAACTGACTAAGGTGGGTGGGCTTGAACTGGAAGTTGAAGTTGTTGAGAGTTGTGTGTTTTGAGCCAGAAAAGCGTTGTTCTGTGACTGCAGGGGAGAGTGAAGGCGAAGCGAGCTGACGTGTCTGAGGGAGTGAGATGAGATAAAATGCCTGAGGGGTGGGGCTCCGGGTAGACAGTGCTGAGGTCTCCTGTCACTGGGTGTCCGGCTGGGGGCCGTGGCCACGGCCTCCGCCTTCTGCAGCCCCATCGGGGCCCAAGGCCTTTCCTGTCGGTGCCTTGCTCAGCCCGTTTGCTGCAGTGGGTTCTGGGGTGTCTTCAGAAGAACACTCGCTCTCCTAGTCGGGGAGTCAGGCTGTTCTCTCTAACCTGGCCATTTCTCCTGCGTCTAGGGAGAGCCCGCTGTAAAAAAGGCCCAGTTAAACCCTCAGGTGTACATGGATATCAAGGTCAGGAACAAGCCAGCAGGCCGCATCCAGATGCTCCTGCGTTCAGACGTCGTTCCCATGACAGCAGGTGAGCAGGACTCCGGTCAGGATGGCCGGGAAGCTAGTGGCTGAGGAAGCTGCCTGGACTCCTGGGCCCTTGACTATTTCTACCTGAGTCTATCTGAGGCATCTTAGATCCCAGCATCTAGTGACAAATGAGGCAGAACAGGCTTTTCTTTCTTTTTTTTGCCACGCCACATGGCTTGTGGGATCTTAGTTCCCCGACCAGGGATTGGACGCATGCCCCCTGCAGTGGAAGCATGGAGTCCTAACCACTGGACCGCCAGGGAACTCCCAGAACAGGCATTTTTGAAATTCCATAAAGGCTTAGGACTGTTAGAGTAAGCAGTTAAAAGTTTTGTGATTTGTTTTAATTACTCTCCCATTTGATTTTATTGGGGTTTTTTAAAATAATTTTGTTTTGATATATTTTCAAACTTACAGATAGAATAAGAATTCTATACGAATAGTACAAGGAACTCTCATATATCCTTTAACTGTTGATTAATTTACTTTTTTGCCCTTATGCTTTATCATTTTGTTTATATACATACATACGTACGTGTATTTTTTTACCCCCATACTAGTTGAGAGGAAGTTGAAGACATACATCGTTCTTCAGTATGAATTTCCTAAGAACAAGAATATTCTCTTACATAATCATAGTACAGCTATCAAAATCAGGAAATTTAACATCAGTGTAACACTATTAACTAATCTTCAGGTCATATTCAAATTTCATCACTTATCCCAATATTGTTCTTTATAGTAATGTTAACAATTTCTGTTCCTTGACAAGGAGTCACACATTGCATTTAGTGGGGGGGGGGTCTCTTTAGTCTCCTTTTATTTCTAACAGTTTCTCAGTTTTTTATTGTCTTTCTTGATCTTGACATCTTTGAAGAGACAGGCCAGTTGTTTCTAAGATTGTTTCTCGGTTTGTCTTTGCCTACTTCCGCGTGATTAGATTTAGATTATGTGTTTTGGCAGGAATACCTCAGAAGAACGTTGTTTCCTTGTTAGTGCATCATATGAGGAAGTACTTGAGGTCAGTTCCAATGTTTGTGATGTTAACTTTGACCACTTGGTTAAGGAGATCTCTGCCAGGTTTCTCCCCTGGAAGGTTACAATTTTTAAGTTATAAATTAAAAGCTAAAATTTTTCTCCTCACTATCTCCAGCCCATCTCACAGAGGTAACTACTATTGACAGTTGTTGTATGTTGCCTATTTCCTTAAATATTCATAATTACTCTTTTTACCCATGATCCTTTTTTTTTGTTTCAATCTAGCTTTTTTTTTTTTTTAATGCTTATCAAAGTCATAATTGCATACAGTTTAAAGAAAATTGTTCTTTGGAGTTTGTTACAAAACATGACATTTTTCTGCTCCCCCATCGTCATAATTTTTCTGCCCTGCCACAGGCAACATTCTTTTCTTTTAGGTGATTATTTTGACTTTTATTGCTCTATCTCTGAAAAATATATTCATGTTACTGCTACTTGATTTTTCTCAGTTTTTGGCTGTTATAGGTCAGTTTTTCTGGGAAACAGACTCATGGAGAGGTAGATGCAGGAAGTTTATTGGGGAGTGATCTCAGGAACAACTTCTGTAAGAGAATGAGTGGAGTAGATGGGGCAAAAATAGAGTAATTGACCAGCCTTGCAGTCACACAGAGACCTCAGCTGATCCCATGGGGAGTTTGGGAGCTTGGATATCCCTCCAGAATGTCCAGCTCTGAATTTTAGGCCAGGGGGCCAGGCTTTTGTACCCTCATATGGACCAGTCATGAATTCTGGCTGATTCCCAGGAGTGGTGAGGCAGCTCTCTTTGGCCAAAGGCATTTCCTGGGTGGGACCCATCCTGGGGCTGGTAGCATCCAACACTCCTGGGAGGTGAGGGGGTGAGGGAATGCGGGTCTTGGTCTTGGAGAGGATCTGTGGGCTTAACCGCAGCATCCATTGCAGTCCACCCATCTCGCAACTCAGATCCACTTACTTCACCTGGGAACGGCTCCTCCAGGACTCTGGTTGGTCTCTTTTTCTGGGGAAACTTCTAGAGGAATGTTAATGGAACTATAATCCCATTGCTGCTCTTGGTCTCAGAACCACAAATGATACTTGTCATCTCCCTCCTTTACTTTATTCCAGATTCCTCACCCTCACCTCAGCTGGCTTCTCTGCTTGTCTACATGGCTTAACTGATGAGGTGACCTAGACCTTTATCCAAGGGGATTTGAGCTCCTGGTCATTGTGCCCTTCCCAGGCCATGGCTGCCCATCAAGATTGGGCAGGGGAGTACAAGAGAGGTCCCATGGGTCCCCCAAACGTATTCTGACCAGCCCTGTTGTGTAACAGCAGACCTACCTCCTAAAGACCAAGGTCAAGAATCTCGCCAAGATGATGACTGCTTTTCTTACCTGCTTGTCACCTGGCACAAGGAGCCTGAAGTGATCACCCAGTGGCATAGCTTAAAGTGTAATGGGAGTCTGGTTGTCTCCACTGGTGAAGGTGTGCCCGCTAGGAACCAGGACCTCTAGATCCACAGAGGCTTGAGTTGCAGGGATGGAAAGTAACAGGAGTGATGGTAACCAGGACCACTCCAGCTTCTACTTCTTGGTTCCTGGACCCCCAGGGACATAGCACTCGCTAATGAGCACTGATTTAGGGCTGTCCTTACAGGAAATCTTTTTTTTTTTTTTTGGCCGAGGCATTCAGCATGCAGGATCTTAGTTCCCCGACCAGGGATCAAACCTGTGCCCCCTGCACTGGGATCACAAGTCTTAACCACTGGACCACCAGGGAAGTCCCCAGGGTATCATTTCTGATATCCTAATACTGTCCTTCATAGAAACCTTTCTCCCCCTAATCTAGAATCATGCACTGTGTTTGTTGTGTCAGTTTAATCTCCTTTAATCTGGAACTGTTCCTCAGCCTTTGTCTTTTATGACATTGTCGTTTTTGAAGACTCCAGGCCAGTTGTTTTATAGAATGTTCCTCATTTGAATTTGTTTCCTCACGATTAGATTCAGGTTATTTTTGGCATTCTTTGCAGTACTCCAGAAGTGACATGTCTGTCTCCCTGTCACTAATGTCAATTTTTCCATTACTGGTGAGGGTTACTTGGTTAAGGTTGTGTCTGCCAGTTTTTCCCCACTCACAAGGTACTTTTATTCCCCTTTGTAACTGATAAGTGACTTTTAAGGAGACACTTTAAGACTTTTTACCTGGTGATTTTTGGTATTCTGTTTTTGATTCTAGACTAAGTCAATTATTACCGTGATGGTAATTTTCTAATTATTGCTCCCTCTGTATTAAAAACATTAGCATTTCTACATTTATTCTAATTAGCCATCTGCTATGAATAAGAGCTTTCTCTTCTTCCTTCCCCCTTTATTTGTTTTGCGTTAGTAGGTCCCTGTGTTAGTGTGCACTCATGAGTCTTTTTATTCATGTTCTACTCCATTACACTCACTCACTTGTCAGTTGCTCAGACTGTCCTAAGTTTGGCCATCAGGAGCCCCCTCAAGTCTGCTCCTATATCATATCCATTTGACTCATTTTTTGAGCATTTCCTTACTTTCTGGTACAATAAAAAGATCTGGGCTTATCTGGTACTGTCTCTGCTCTGACCCTGGAATCAGCCATTTCTCCAAGAAGCTCCTGTTCCTTTTAGTAGGAAATAATAATTAGAAATCAAGATCTGGATCCTGAGTAGGTACACTGCTTCTGGGGTGTCACTGAGCCTAGGCCCTTTCAGCCTTTCAGTAGGAAGTGTGTGTGTGTGTGTGTGTGTGTGTGTGTGTGTGTGTATGTGTGTATGTATATCTTTAAGTCATGAATTCATACTGATACTCTAATTTCTGTCTAATACTACATATTTATATCACCTTTCTCCCACAGCGAGAGCCTTGGCTCCCAATAACATCAGTATATTCACATACTGTTCAATCCTACAGTACAAAATAGTTTCAGAATTGCTACATTTGTACCACTACCAACAAACAGTTTTTTTGCAGTTCTTTTTCTTCAGTCTGTAAAGGGTCCAAATACTGTGTTCAAAGAGTTCTTAGATTCCTTTCTTCTGTATGGCTAGGTTATCCATTTAACTTAAGTTCTCACTTGTTTCTCTTTGTGTTCCGTTTTAGGGGTTCCACCCCCACCCCCGGCCTTATTGATGTAGTTTTATTTTTTGAATAAATACTGACAGGCTTCAGAAATCAAAACTATACCAAGAGGCACACATGGAGTTGTGTCACTCCCTCCCACTCCCTCTGCCCCTATTCCCACCCACCTTCTATGAGTAACCAATTTCATTAGTTCCTGGTTAATCCTCCTTTTGTTTCCTTTTGCAAAAATGAACAGATATAGGAGTATTTCCTTATTTCCTTCCTTCTTTCACAGCATGTAGCATATTGTGTATTCTCTTTTGCACTTTGCTTTTTTCACTAAACAACATATCCTGGCAATCACTCCGTATCAGTTCACAGAGATCTCCTGTTCTTGTTCATAATACTTCACAAGGTGGACATACCATAGTTTATTCAACAAGATTCTGGTGCTTGGGCATTTAGGTTGTTTCCATTATACTGCGGTTACAAATAATGTGTATGTGGATTTCATATCGTTGGAGGTATATCTTCAGGGTCATTCCTAAAAGTAGGGTTACTGGGTCAAAGGGTAAATGCACAAGTAGTTTTGTTAGATATTGACAAATTCTCCTACAAAGAGGTATCATTTTGCATTCCCTCTAGTAATGTGTGGGAATACCTGTTTCCTTGGCTTCACTCACAGATTGTGTTTTTAAGTTTTTGAATTTTGGCTAGTCTGATAGGCAAGAAATGGTGTCTCAAAGTATTGATAGTTTTAATTTATGTTTTTCTTATTATGGTTGTCAAAGAATATCTTTTTATATATTTAATGACTTATAACAAAAACTGTCCCTCCAAAATGATTTTTTTATGTCTTCTGTCGCTTTTTCTGTTAAGTTTGATCTTTTTTTTCCTTCCACTTTTTAAGAGTTCTTCATATATGGGGATATTAGATTTTCTGTGATGTATGTTGCCAATGAATATTTCTCCCAGTTTGTCATTTTTTGTTGTTGTTTTTACTTTGTTTATAGTTTTTTCGCCATGCAAAAGTTGTTGAATTTTTTTTTTAATTGCCCCTGGGTTTTGAGTGATAGTTGGAAAGTCCTTCCTTACACCCAGGTTATAGAAGAATCCAACCCATGTTGTCCTCTAGTACCGATAATTAATTGTTTCTTTACATTTAGATATCTGATCCATTTGGAGTTTATTCTTGCAGTGAGCTAAGTTGTAAATCCAGCTTCACCTTTTTTCAAATGTTTGTTCATATGTCCCAGCACCATTTTAGAAAATGTCCATTTTTGCCCCAACGATTTTAAGATGACAACTTTTATGAAATACTGAATTATATGTACCTTGGTCTGTTTCTGGACTGTCTGTTCTATTCCCCTGGTCTGTTCAGTCCCTTTGTGTGCCATACCACTAGTAAACGTTTACTTCAAGTGAAGGTAATATATACTTTCTTAGATTCTGAGAGCTGGAGGTTTAACTCTCCAATTAGATATTTTTAACCTGGGTACCTTTTCCTTTCTCGGCGCCAGAGAACTTCCGCTGCCTGTGCACCCATGAGAAGGGCTTTGGCTTCAAGGGCAGCAGCTTCCACCGCATCATCCCCCAGTTCATGTGCCAGGGCGGCGATTTCACCAGCCACAATGGCACTGGGGGCAAGTCCATCTACGGGAAGAAGTTTGACGATGAAAACTTTATTCTGAAACACATGGGACCAGGTGGGACCCGATCGGTGGGTGGTGATCGGCGGGCCAGGCTGGGGCCAGGTGACTGTGCGGGGGGAGTGATGGGCTGTGGTTCTGGTCTCCAGACTGCCACCCAGTGAACGGAGGAGAGGCGTTCAGCCTGGCTAGAGCTTTAGGCTTCTAAAGGTTTTTTTGTTTTTTATTTTGACTTACTCAAGTTCATGCTTGCCTCCTTTTAAGAGGAAAAGGCATATAGCCTGCTCCTGCTGCTACAATGATGTGTTGTTACTGTTTTTGTAACTTTTTATTTTATATAATTTCAAGTTTACCAGAACAGAACAAGGAGCCTCTGCCTGTAAACCGTTATATGCCGTTCACCCACATCACCAGTTGTTTGCTGGTGACCATCGTTCCTCACTTATTCTAGTCTCTTTCTGTATATATTTATAGACAATGTCTATTTGGGAGCAGCCATTTGAGAGTAAGTCAGAGACCTCACGCACTTTCACCACTAAATACCTCATTGTGTTATTTCCTAAGAACAAGGGCATTTTTAGTATTACCACAACATATAGCTATCAGAAGCAGAAAATTCACACTGATACAGTACTGTCACCTACAGCGCATATCCAGGTCTCATCGTGGTCACAGTCGTGCCCTTCTGAGGTATTTATAGTTGAAATGTATCATCTGCTCACACAGCCGTGGCCCCTCCCCTCCCCTCCCCAACCCCCAGGACACCGATGTTTGTTTGCGGCTTGCGGCTGCCTCCTCATTTCCCGGGCTCCGTCACCAGCTCTGCTTCCCTCACTCTTGCCTTCCAGCCACACTGCCTTTTGCTTGCTCTCTCCTGCTCACCTGGTACAAAACTCCCATGTGCTGGAGAAAAGCACGTGCCCACGCACCGGATCCCCTTCAGGTTGAGGAGCACAGCCCAGCAGTCCTCGCAGATCACTGATTGATCCTCATCCACAGTCTGAGAAGAAAACACTCCTTTTCCTCGATCCTCAGATCTCCAGCGTTGCCCCCTCCACTCTCCCTCCCAGCTAATGATCTTGCTTCTTATCTCACTGAGCAGTAGGAACAATGAGAAAGATCTGCTGTACTCTCTTCTCAGTTCCCATCAGACCCTGGGTCCTCCCCTCCCTTTACTGCCTCCTCCAGTCCCCCTCATGCTGCAGTGCTGCCAGCCTTTAAAGAAATAAAATAACTCTCCCTCGACCCTGTGTTCCCCCTCCAGCTTCCACATTAATTCTCTGGTCCCTTTTTAGCAAAACTTCTTAAGAGTTGTGTAAGCTCATGGCTTCTGTTTCTTTCCTCAGCCCCCTCCAGTGAGACTTCCTTCCCCACCACGCCTTGCTCTTGTTGAAGATGCCAACAGCCTCCATCTTGCCAGCAGCCAAGGCTCGGCCCTCTTTTTCCACCTCTCAGTAGCACTTGATACTATGAATCACGCCCTTCCTGAACCCCTTTCTTCACTTGCTGGCAGAACACCTCATCTTCCGTTCTCTTTGTGCCTCACAGGCTGCTCATCTTCAGTTCCTTTGCTTTCTCCTCCTCCCCACCTCCAAGTTGCTAGAGGGACTCAAAGCTCAGCCCTGGTTTTTCTTCTCTGTCTACACTTACTCTTTACTTAACGGTTCTTAACGCGTTAGCCTCGTGCCCACCTCTTAGAACTGATACTTTCCTATATGCTGAAATGAAAGTCACAGCTAATATATCCTGCCAATACCTAATTTTTAAAAAGTAGTATTATAACATAAAGGAAAGTAATTTAGAATAAAATATGCATTTCGGTATTTAGATGCTTGGACACAACTGCATGTATGGAATATTTAAACACGTGAACTTCTGCCTGGAGCAGGTTAGCAACGTGGACTGACACTGGCATGTCATGTCACCAGAGTCACGGCAACGTGATTTTCTGAAACAGTGAAAATCTCTTGGTAATATTCTGAACAAAAAGAAAGTGACTCTTCCCTCAGTTTATGTGGTAGGTCCATTTCTGAAAAAATCCTACATAATAAATCTTTGGATTTACATGTAAAATGGAGTTAGGTTCTAGGCTTAGATCATTATAAACAGGTATTTGTCATCTGCATGAATGTTTGTCTGGGCATTGAAAGTCTAAGAGGATTTAGAATAATTCTTCATTAGGTGGGACATTGCAGGACATGCCTGCTTCCTCCCCAGTATTACTGACAACCAAAACCATGCCTTGAACTTTCCAAATAGCCTCGAGGGGGCAGCATTACCCTATTTAGAGTCACTGCCCTAGCCGATCCTGTCCCGTCCCGGGGCTTTCCCTCATGTCTGCTGAATTTCTCTCGGCCCCGTGTATGTCTCGCTGCTGCTCTCCAGCTGTCTTCCCTGGACATCCCAGCGGGGTCGCAGACCTCACGTGCCCAAGCAGGTCTTGCTCTTCACCCCCGAGCGCTCCCTCGCCATCTCCCCTGTTTCAGCCACCATCTACCTGGCTGCTTGGTCAGAAGCTTAGGACTCATCCTTGCCCCCCTCCTCTGTTGCCTGGATGGCAGGTCCATCTGTCTTCAGTTCACCTCCTGGTGCAGGTGCTCTTCACCTTCCTCCACCACCACCAGCGTCCCCGAGCTCATCTCCCTCCTTCCACTCTTGCCTCTTCCCCCGCAGAGTCTAATCTCTGCAAGGTGGTCAGAGCAGTCCTTTTTAAGAGTAACTCTCATCACATTGCTCTCCTGCTGACAGCCCCCCCGTGGCGCATCTCGTGTAGCATCTGGTCCTACAGGCCGGCTGCCCTGGGTCCTGGCCCCTCTCCAGGCTCATGGACTGTGCTGCTCGCCCTCTCCGCCCCCACTGCAGTCTGGCTGTTCCTCAGACACCCGGAGCTCACTTGCCACAGGGCCGTGGCAGGTGCCGGCTCCTCTCCTGGAGGCTTCCTCCTCCAGCACCCACAGGCTTCACCCCTCATCTCTGGGCGTCACCTACAGGTCGTCTAGCCCAAGAAGCCTGCCCTTGCCTCTCTGTCTAAAATGGGCTTTCCTACCATCTTGCTCTTCTTCTTAATCAGCTTCATTTTTCTTCACGCACTGGTTACTGGTTACTGGAAATCATATTATAAATTTACTCTTTTACTTAATTATTGTCATTTCTCCTGAGAATGTCAGCCTCATGAGGGCAGGACTTAGTCTTTCTTGTTCACCATTGTATTCTGGAACAGTGTCTGACACATAGTAAACCTGCAGTAAATATTTAAATATTTAAAACAGATATTCACAGGGCCAGTCCATTATGTGTCAGGCACCCTGATCAACTCCGGCCTGAAAGCAGAGTGGGACTCAGTCCCCATTTGAAGGGAGCACACGTTTTAGAGGCCCAGCCACGGGGGGTGGAGTTTCTTGTTGCCACAGATGAACTGCAGCTCCTCATGCTACACTCCATCAGCCCCTGCCAAACCTGGGCTTTTTAGACTAAACTCGGATGTCACTTCCTCCAGAAAGCCTTCTGTGATACTGTCACCAGTGTGTGTGTGTCTGTCTGAGGTGACTGTCTTTTGTGCTCATTCACTGAGCAAACATCTCTGCCACTAGGCTTCACTATTTCAGAGCATAATTATCTTTATTTTTTAACAGTTTCATTGAGATAGAATTCACGTACCATTCAGTTCACCCATTTAAAGTATACATTTCGGGACTTCCCTGGCGGTCCAGTGGTTAAAGACTCCGTGCTCCCAGTGCAGGGCGTGTGAGTTTGATCCCTGGCTGGAGAACTAAGATCCCGCATGCTGCATGGTGTGGCCAAAAAATAAAAATAAAGTATACATTTCAGTGGTTTCTAATGAATTCACATAGTCATGTAGCCATCCCCACATATAATTTTAGAATGTTTTCATCACCTCCAAAAAGAAACCCCACACTCTTTAGCAGTCATTCCCTAATCCCCTTGTCCCCCAGCCCTAGGCAAACACTAATCTTCTTTGTGGATTTGCCTATTATGGGCATTTCATGTAAACAGAATCATAAAATTGTAGGCTTTTGTGACTGGCTTCTTTCATTTAGCATAATGTTTTAAAAAATGTTCATCTACAATATAGTGTGTATCAGTATTTTCATTCTTTTTTTATTGCCAATTAATATTCCACTTACGGGTATACCACAGTTTATTCATAAGTTGATGGACATTTGGGTTGTTTCTAATTTTCGGCTCTTATGATGCTGCTGTGAACATTCATATATAGGTTTTTGTGTGGGCATGTGTATTTATTTCTCTTAAGTATATACCTAGAATTGGAAAACTATGTGTTTTTTTGTAGATATCCTTTATCAGATTAAGGAAGTTCCCTTTTATTCCTTGTTTGTTGGGTGTTTTTATCATGAAAAGGTGTTGGATTTTTTTCCTGCATCTGTTGAGTTTATTATGTGGTTTTTGTTCTTTATTCTATTGATACGGTTTATTACATTGGTTTCTGGATATTAAACCAAGCTTGCATTCCTGAGATGAATCAATATTTAACTTGTGAGTGACTCTTTTCCGCTAGACTGTGGGCTCCACCAGGCCTGGGACCAGTGTCCCCAGGGTTCAACAGGTGCCTGGTTATGAAGTAATAAGTATTTGTTGAATGAATTAATGAAAGGACAAACTAGTATAAAATGATTGAAACAACCATGCTTAGCGTTTCATTGACTATCAGTTGAGTGGAAGACAAGGCATCCAAGACTCTGTACATCCCAGAGTCTGAGCCTGCTTGTCTGAAAGGCTGACAGCAGTGTGCACAGACATCCCCTGAGGGCCAGACATCCCAGCAGCATTTACGCTCCTCCCTCTACTACCAGACGTCCTGAGGGCCGGGAGCAGGGTGGAGGGGGTCGATGTGGTCGTTCTCTCCCCCAGGCCTGCTCTCCATGGCCAGCTCTGGCCCAAACACCAACGGTTCCCAGTTCTTCCTGACATGTGACAAGACGGACTGGCTGGACGGCAAGCACGTGGTATTTGGGGAGATCACGGAAGGCCTGGATGTCTTGCGGCAGATTGAGGTGGGCGGCCGCCCGGGCCCCCGGTGCACAGCCGTGTGGGAGGGCAGGAGCGGGGGCTCCGGGGCCTGGAGAGAGAGGCCACGGCTGCTGCTGCTGGGGGTGGGGGGGGCAGGGGGCGGGGCGGGTATCCTGAGCTGCCCTTTCCTCTCCACCCTCCCTCCCTCCCCTGATTCCTCCTCTTCTGTTTTGCCTGCAAAGGCCCAGGGCAGCAAGGATGGGAAACCCAAGCAGAAGGTCATCATCTCCGACTGTGGGGAGTACGTGTGAGAGGGCAGCTGTCAGCCCGGGGAACCGGCAGCCAAGGTGTCCCGTTTGCAGCAAGCAGGGCTTTGTGTCCTGGCCCTTCCTTGGGGTCAGCGTGGGGCAGCTCCTCTGCAGGCACGGCCTGGGCCGCCTCTGGCTCTTCCCCAAGTGGGGCCGTGGGCCAGGGTGGTGCCCTCCCCACCGTGGACGGCTGTGTGTGCCCTTTCCAGGCCAGGGCCTCTCCTGGGCCCGCCTGTGTGGATCTTGGCTGTGTCTTCTGGTAAAATTAATCCTAGTTCTTGTACTGCTGCCACGCAGCCAGGTCCCAGGTGTTTTCAGAGGTTGCACCTGTGACTGACCTGTCCTGCTGCAACGGATGACAGACCGTAGTCCCTCCCGTGCTGCTTCCCTCCTCTCCAGGCTGGCCCAGAAGGCACACCCTTGCCAGACCTGCAGGGCAGCTGAGGTCAGAGCTGCTGCAGCAGTGCCTCTGTGTCCTGTCTCTGACCTGCTGCCAGGCGGGCGAGGTGGCTGAGCCAGGCCCCGTTCCTGCCCTCACACCTGCTGGTCTTGAGTCTAATGGGCACAGTGGTCCGTCTCAGCGACCCGTTCACTTATTGTTCCTTCGGTGAACCAACAGTCAGAATTGTATTACAGCAGAGTCCAGGACCCTTCTTTTGCCAGGCCATGAGCTTGGTGCCGGGGAGATACAAGAAGCCAGAGGTGGTTCCTGCCCCGCCCGCAGTCCCACCTGGAAGTTGTGCTCCGACGCTGCGGTCTGTCACTTGCTCTAGGCTCGCCTGTCACCCACACCAGCCAGGCCACCTCGCAGCAACCCGCTGTGCCGAGGCTGAGCCCTGTCAGGTGCTCAGTCACCAGAAACCTTGTCCAGGGCTGCCACCTGCTCCCCTGCCGCCTGCGAGTGGCTGTCTGGATCGAGTCTCAGCATTCAGAAACTGCTGCGCTGGGCTGGTTCCCTCAGCCTTTGTCTCATTTTGGGCTGAGATCAGGTTGAGTCGGGGGTGGGTGGGGCAGCCTGCTGGCCCCAGTGCCCCCAGGTCAGTTCCTGCGGAGGGATGGATGCCAGGCTTGCCTCTGCCGCCCTGTGCCAGCCTGGCTCTCTGCCTTCAGGTGGGGCTTTATCCCCTTTGGCTGGCTGGGGTCCACTCCCGTGGCTGGGATCCACTGCTGCAGTATTCCTGGCTGGGGCCCTCACTACTTAACAGAGGTGTCCCTCTCACTGGTGGTCAGCTGTGGCTGTCAGAACACGCAGCAGTGAGGCCAGGAGAATGCCAGCCACTCGGGGCTGTTGTGATGTCCAAGAGACAAGGGAACGTGTGTGAAGTACTCAGAGTCGGCATGGCTGGCCCTAGGGATGATGTGGGGATGGGGAGCAGGCTGGCCTGAGGCCTCAGGAGGGAAGACTGGTCACAAAGCCCTTGTGAAACAAGGGCAGGGTGGGGGCAGGGGAACTTCGTCACTGGACCTCCCTGATGGCCCTGGGAAGGGGGGACCAGTGGACTGGCCAGAGAGGCTGGTTGGGGGATCATCAGGGGCCGATTGCTCACCCTGTCCTGTGTAAGGGCTTCCCCAGAAACTACTGCATGGTCATCACCTGTGACCCTTGTGCAGGTGGTGACCTGAGCCTCAGAGCTGAGGTTCCTGGCCCAGGTGTTCTGGGCTAATGGCCAGCCTGGTGGCCGTGCCCTGGCTCCCTGCCTTCCCGATGCTGGGCCAGGGCTGCAGGTGACAGGATCGGGGGGCTGCACACCTGCCCTCCGGGGAAGGAATAGTGAGCCCTGGTTTGTAAGTGACAAAACTAAGGCAGAGGTCAAGGGATGGAGTGCTACTGCAAACTATGTTTCCAGAGAATATTTAATAACAGAAATGTTCAAAATATGTCATAGATTGAATAATTCATATCACCAAGCAGCGCATGGAGTACGATCCTAACTTTGTAGAATACCCATATATTATATAAAGAGACCGACAGGAGTGTGCTAAGGAAAGAAGCCTGGAAGGAATTATTAACCCCGGTTGTCTCCACGTGGTGAGATTGTGTGTGTTTGTATTCTGCTTTTGATTTTCAAGAGTGTCCCCGACACACATATAATATTTTCTTAAGTGAGAAAAACTTTTTTTTTTAAAGAGGGCCAAATGCTTGCTCAAGGCTTCCCAGTGAGGAGACAAACCCCAGAAAGTTTCCCCTTGAGCTGCACTAGTGAGCAGGGCCGTGGGAGGACAGAGAGGGGGCAACGCTGCCATGTCCCCTGCTGGCCGCTACGCCCCCCCCTCCCCACGGAGGGGCAGGCAAGTCCACACCTCACCCCAGGAGACTACCAAGTTTTTATTTTTTTAGGAAAAGCACAGCTTTGAAGTAAGTACAGCAGCACCTCCAAGGACACATTCTGGGAGGAGTGGGTTTTAATAGGAAGGCACGCAGGAGAGGCCCACATTTGCAAATTCATTTAAAATAAGGCCACTAGGGCTTCCCTGGTGGCGCAGTGGTTGAGAGTCCGCCTGCGATGCAGGGGACACGGGTTCGTGCCCCGGTCCGGGAAGATCCCACGTGCCGCGGAGCGGCTAGGCCCGTGAGCCATGGCCGCTGAGCCTGCGCGTCCGGAGCCTGTGCTCCGCAATGGGAGAGGCCACAGCAGTGAGAGGCCCGCGTACCGCAAAAAAAATAATAAAGGCCACTAATAATGCTATTCATTCGGCGCAGGTGTGCAGACCCAGTGCCGAGTGCTCCGAACAGACCTGCTCCCCGCGCTGGCCTTGCCAGGGCAGAGCCAGTAGCCCGTTCTACAGAGGGAGGAGCCGGCTTCCCGGTGCGCAGGGTGGTCAGATCAACAAGAGGCAGAGCCAGGGCTTGTTGCCAGCGGGTCTGCGAGCTACAAAGCTCACCCTCTCCTGTCACAGCTTCCTTCCCTATGAAGTTACAGGGAATTTCTTGAAGAATGTCACCTACTTCCCTACATAGAGATACACAAGAATAGGGCTTCGCCCGATGAGCTGGCATCTGGGCCAGGATCACGCTTCGGTTATGAAGATGCGCACCAGGGGTGAGGTGACAGAGCAGTGTGCCCACACAGCGTGGCCCCAGGCGCTGCTGTTCCTTTGGGCCCACCCTTTCCGGCAGTGCTTACTTTGCCACCAGTGGGCCTGAGTTGACCACCCTCATTTATGCTTCTCATGTACAGCCTTGAACGTGACCCAGACTGCCAAGGGCAACCAGATAAACGAGGTGGGCCTAGTGACTGACCACTGCCACCTCATCGGCTTTCCGTCCTTAATTGTCTCCCTTCTCTGAAGCCTCTTCTATCTGATTTCATTTGGTGGCCACCTGGATGGCTGAAGGTGCCAGAAGTGTCAGGAAGGCCGTGACTGCTGGACTGTTGGCTTTATTGCATGAAACGGGAGTCGTGTCACAATCCTTTGTTCCTTTTGTTCTACACCTCTGAGGGCAGGGCAGTCCACATCTTCAAAACATTCACTTCATAAACTTTCCTGGTGCCCCAAACCATGCCAGGTTATGTGCTTAGGCACTGAAGAAACTTAACACTGACATTTGTCAAAAGTTTCTAAGCCTCCACTGCCCTTGATGTTGGGAGGAGAGAGCTCTGAATAAGGCCCTGAATTTGGCAGGTTTCAAGTCCTAGGACAGCTGGGCACTCAGGCCATGTCTTGGCTCTCTGAGAAGAGATGGCCAGAGTGGCAGGCAGATTCTCTGGCTGGAATGGCCTTTGGAGACGTCAGAGTCCTTGTATGTCCTCATGCCAGAGACAGGAAACTGAACCCTGAATCAGGGGGCACTTGCCCAGACATCAGTGGCTGAGCTGGAGCCAGAATACGGGTCTCCTTACACTTGCGCTGGTACCTGGTCCGCTCACTGCCAGCCTCAGCTCAAAGCCCCAGGCTAAAGAGGAGACCACCAACTTCCTGTGTCCATGGGGAGGGTCAATTCCTGTGCCCTGGCTCCCAGAGGCCCTCCCAGGTCCAGGCGGAAGGGCTGCTGTCCTGCAGCAAGGCCCCAGCCTCCACCCCTGCTGCCAGACCTGCGCTCCCGGAGCCCCTCCTTGGGGCGCAGAGTGAATTCCAGGGCTGCACATCCTGGGCTGTGCCTGTGGGTTGGGGCGGGCCCAGGCTGTGCTTTTAATGACACAGTATTTCAGGGTTCGGGCAGCTGGACGCAGTCTGCTCCACCAGGTAAATTACAGGCTTACCAAGTCAGAAATCAAACACTCCAGCTGCCGGCGGCTGCTCCAAGGAGAGCAGTGGTTTCCGGGAACCGCCCCACCCAGCTCAGCTTAATTGCTGCCTGTCACTCCCCTGGGACCGGGGCCTTTTCTCTGGCTCACAGGCCCCAAGAGACAGGACAGGGCTCCTGGGCACACAGGGTGACGCAGACTTGGCTGAACAGTCTGTTTCTGACAGCAGCTTCTGGACACGGGCAGGTGCTAACAAGCCTTGCCCTCGCTCCACGCCTGGCCCCAGGCTGCCCCGTGTCCCAGAGCACTGGAGGCAGGAGATGGCAGAGAGTTTTCACTCCACATGCCAACTCTAACCTGTTGGTGGTGGCCACCTGGAGTTCTGTGCTGGTCATTTTGAAATTCTATCCAGATTTGAAAGAAAAAATATCAAGGTTGATTATTGATGACTGCCGTGCAGAAGGTTAAGGGAAACTATGTCACCCGTGCTGGGCATTGTCACCCTGGGCCACCCGATGTATCCACCATACTTGGCTCAGCAAAAAGATAACTTTTCCACAGAGCTGAACTCCCGATGGTTCAACATGGTGACAGACAGATGGGGTCAATAAAGCCCCCAGGATTTTTTGTTTCCCTAAAGTGTCCGTGCACTGCACGTCTTCCCCAGACAGCAGAGGCAGGTCAAGGGAGGAAGAGAGGGAAGATGAATGCCATCGGCCTTGGCCCTAACTCATGCTGTTCATTTAGCTCTTTCTGGAGGCGACCCACATGCCTCCTTGTGGCCAGCGGTTTGGTAATTCAGATCCACAAATATAGCCCACCAAGGGCAACTCCACACTCTAACAGAAGTGCCCAGAAATGCCCAGTTTTGCAGCTGGGAAGGGCAGGCATCTGGAGATGGACCAGGACCTGTCTACACATCCCCAGACACTGTCGTGGACGGTGAAGGGCCTGAGGTGGCCATCCTGGGCTGCAGGTGCCTCTGAGTTCGTCCCACATCCGCCCACAGCTGGGCCAGCAGTGAACAAGAGCAGGTCCTCAGGACTCTCTGCCAGCCCCAAAGAACGGTCAGCCCGTGCCTCTGGGGAGGGGCTGGGGTAGGACCCTGCTGCGGACGCAGACCACCAGGCCGGAGTTCCACCACCGCCTCAGGCGCCGGGCGGGGGCGGGGCAGAGGGGCCTGGGGAGGACCAGCCCCTGGCAGGATGTGGGCAGCGGAGGGGCGCCCTCGCTGCCGCCGCCCTGCCTGAGCTGTGAGGACGCTGGGTGGTGCCCCCTGCGGAGGTCTGACCTGACCCGGTAGGGGCGGTGCAGCAGGCGGGGCGGGGCCTCAGTGGCAGCCGCAGGCGCGGACCACCATGTTGCGGTGCTTGCGCAGGATGACGTTGTTGCTGCTGTCGTAGTAGAGCACGGAGGTAGCGCTCAGTTTGGTGGGCGCGCAGCACGCCTTGGGCACCGCGTCAGCCTTCATCAGGTGCACCTGGCGGGGAGGGGGCGGCAGGCAGAGGCGTGAGAACCGCGGGGACCCCGTCCCAGCCCCCAGCTCCTGCCGCCCGGGCTGCAGCCGCTCGCCCCTCCCCGGCGCCATCTCGCCCCGCAGCCCCGCAGGTGCTGGCGCGAACTCTGCCCCGGCCCCGCCCCCTTGGCCACCCCAACCCCTCCCCCCGCCCCGCCGCTGTCCTCAGGCCCAGCCTGGGCACCTGTGGATCCTGTCACAGCCCCTCCTGTCAGGACGACCCTGACCCTGCTGGCCCCTGGCACGTGTGCCAGGTCCTGCCTGCGCCCCTGCAGCGCCGCCCCCGGGGTCCCCTCTGCTCCTCTCTCCTCCCTGCGCTTCTGCAACGTCCCTAATGGTGTCTTGTCCACATGAGCTGTTTCTGGTCCGTCTCCCCCTCCAGACTGGGAGCCGGTGAAGGTCCGTGGTACACCTGCTGGCGGCCAGACTTCTAGGCTCACCCTTGGGGTGTCTGACACTGTTGTTTCTCAAAGCACCTCCACCCCTCCTAACGATTTCTAGGCAGAGATTGTTCTGGGCAGATGACCACTGAGGGCACAGGGACCGAGTCACCTGCCCAGTTCCATGGCTGAGGCCGAGGCCGCGGCACGACTGGGACCTGGCACGAGGATCCCGCTACCCTCCTCCAAACAGCTCTACCCCTAAAGACAGCCCGACTGAGTGAGCTCTTGCAGCCTCTACAAAAATATTTATCTGGAGACTCGGCAGGATGAGCTGCCGTTCACCCTGGACTCTTCATCGGGGCCCCACATGGAAGGGCCCGGAAGGCAGCCCCCCAGCCTGTCAGGGGCTGGAGAGAAAAGGGAACCTGCTTCCATCCACCGGGACCTCCCAGGCCTCACGGAGGCCGCTGAGCGGGACCTGGGCAAAGCCGTCTCCTGGGGGGCCCTGTCCGGCAGCCTGGCCCCGGTCCCCAGAGCCCAGGCTCACCCCAGAAGCCCCAGCTCTGAGCAGCCTGCTGCCAGGACAGGCTCCATCACCCCTGACCTTCTTCAAGGAAGGAAGCTCCCCAGGGGTCCAGCAAATCCCATGTGACCATTGGGAAAGGAGGCATTATCCTGGGGTCCATGCTGCCTTAACTCATTTGCTCTAGGGCATCACCTTGAACAACCTGTAACTACAGTGTCCAGGTCAATGTTCTAGAAAGAAGCCTCAGCACTAAAAAACATTTAAAACACTTAGCGATAAGCAGCAGCAACAGTGTTCCTATTAGAAACTTTTTCAGCATTTAAAGTTTCCCCAGACACCGAGGCATCAAAAGCCTGTAGAGACACAAAGAGCCCAGAGGGACCCAGAAAAAAGAGCCAATGGGAAAGGAACAGGAGGGGAAACCAGAAGGGCACGGGGTACCTGGGGACTCCTGCACAGGAAGAGGGGGCAGAACCCACATGTGCGTCACCCACCCCGACCCTGAAGGCGTGTGTGACACACAGGAGGCCGAACGTGCCAGTGAACATGGTGCACGTGTGTGTTCCGAGGGCACAAGTAGCCGTGTGGGATGCCCGCCTATCATGCACGGGCTGTGCCTCTGACCACCAGCAGGCGGGCCTTTGTAAGTCTGGTACCCACCGCATGGACGTGCAAGTCCCCCACGTGCACGTGTGTTTAGGTGCACGGGTTGGGGGTGGCCCACACGGGGACCAGTTTCTGCACGGCTGTGGGATTTCACTGCACGTGCACGCAGAAAGGTTTCTGTAAGGCCAACTGGCCCGAGGCAGGGGAACGCAATCAGACTCACAGGTTGCATCAGACCGAAACTTTCCGGACCACCCAGTTCCAGAAACTGACCTGGAGACTTTCCGGACCACCCAGTTCCAGGAACTGACCTGGGGACTTTCCACCCAGCCCAGCCTTCCCGCCTTTCGAGGGGCGGGACTAACGGTCCCTCACGATACCCGAAAAGACCACCAAATAAGGAATACCCTGCGCACTCCCGGATTCACCACACCCCTTTCCCTTCTTCCCCTATAAATTCTGCCCAAACCCTCGCCCGTGCGCGACTCCTCTGGCCACTTTCTCTCGGACCAGTGAACCTCGCCCGGGAGCGCACCCAAATAAAGCTTGTTTAAGCTCTCCTCCGTTTTTGGTGCCGTTCCTTACAGTTTCCATGTAGAGAAAGCTCCCTGACACAGCAGTGCTGCCATCACCTGCTGGCTGCACGCGCCCCTCTCCTCCGCAAACCCCTCCCCTGGGCGTCCAGGCAGAGGGACGCGGTACTGACCAGGGACTGCAGGATGGCGTGGTTGGTGGCGTTCATGCAGGAGTCCAGTGGGAAGGAGCACTCCCCTTCACAGTAATAGGCTGAGTAGCCTTGGGGGGCGATGACCCAGTCCTGGGGGCAGGTAATGGGAGAAGGTGAGTCCCATCCATGTGCCCCTCCCGAGCCCCCCAGTCCAGCACCTGTCACAGCACAACTCAGGGCTGCCCCTTACCCTCCCTCAGCCTCAGGGCCCACCAGCCCACCCTCGGGCCCCTCCCAGGGCAGTTTCCCCCAGAGGTCTGACATCCACCGGAAGACCCTCAGCAGACAGGGCTGGGCACGATCTCCGTCCCCTTCATGCGCCATCAGCGCTCAGCTTCATCCTCCCCAGCTCCACAGCAAAGGCCAGAGGCACTGCCCACCCTGGCCTCAGTTTTCCTGCTGCAGCTCTGACATTTTATGGCTAAGGATTCAGACAGTCTCCATTTTCATGGTTTTCACAAAAAAGCACTTTTCACTACAGAAGCAACACATTCTCCCTTTAGAGAACTTGGGAAAACACAGAGGAAAATAAAACAAGAAAATGCAAATCCCCCATGTTTCCACCTCCTCTTGAACATACACTTGCCATCATCAAGGTGGGGACTGTCATTTAGGAAAGAAGGAGAGTCAGGAATTACCAGCCAGCCAAGGTCCTGGAAGCTGACATAGAGCTCATGCCGACGGCACACCTGTCGGCCGTGGGAGCCGTGGACGTCGTCTGCGGGGGACAGAAGGGACAAGGTCTTTGCTGGGGTTCCTGCTTTGTGCACCTACCACGGGGAGCTCCTGGGGTGGGGGACGCCCTGATGGGCTCATTTGTTGAGTAAATGAATGATGGGAAACTAACCCATTTGGTCTCATAAAGCCCATCTCTGCAGCTCTGCTGGCACCGTGACCCTGGTCAAGAAGCTTCGACGGCTCCAGATGATTCCCTGTGGTTACAGTCACCCCACGCTCAGCCCAGCCTCCCCTGACTTTCAGCCTGTGACTCCCCATGGTCCACTCAGCAGCCCGGGGACCCTCTGCTGCCCAGCAGCCCCTCCTCCTTTCCTCCGGAGACACCCCTGACCTCATCCGCCTCTCCAGCCACGCCCATTCCACAGGACAAGTGGCTCCCACTGAGGCCAAGCAAAGCCTGGCTCCCCGTGAAGGAAAGGAGGGCACCAGGGGGCTCTGATCCCCAGGGGCTTGGCCTGGTAGGGACACCTTCACAGAAACGCTTGGATACTTCAGGGTGCCTGGGGCAGCACCGAGGGCCACCAGGGGCACCTGATTTTGACGGGGGGGTGGGGTGGGGGCCTGGTGAGCCAGGGAGGACAGGAAGGGACTTCAGGGCGGCGAGGGCAGATGCTCAGAGCCCTGGAGACCGTGCAGTGGCTGGTCCCCAGGGTGCAGGGGCAAAGTGGTGTCAGGAAAGGTGCTGGGTGACTGACCATCAGCCTGACCCCACTGAAGCCAGGAGGGTTCTGTCCCCACCACCTGGTCCCCAACCTCACCGAAGATCCCCGGCAGTTTGTTTGGGGGCGGCAGCTCGTTGGTTCTTTTCGGCAGCCTCCTCTTCAGGGGCCTCACTGCCCGAGGGGCTCGGACGGGGCCGGGGCTCTCCCTGAAAAAGGTGACCACGAAAGGCTGTTTGGAGCGCGGTGCCTGTTGCCCCAGCAGACCGGCCAGGCCTGGATCCACGCTGCGCCCTGAGACGGAGAGAGCAGAGAGGGTGGTCACTCGAGGGTGGGGCCCTGCACGGGGACACAGCGGGGACCTCTCTGTGGGCGGGCCAGGAGCACGGAGCCTGAGGCTGCAGGGGACCCACTGGGTCTCAGTTTCCTCCTCTGAAGACCTGAGTCCGAAGTCCAGCCCCAGCCCCCAGCGGGCAGGTCTGCAGGAGAGGGGGAGGGTCCTCGGGAGCACAGGCTCGGGATTAGTGATGGTCCAGGGCACCGCCTGTTGGGACAGCGCTTTACAGCTTTCAGTCAGTTCACGTGATGATCTCAACCAGTCTTCATGGTGACGCCAGACCCATCATTTCACTGAGAAGCATCAGAGCCCCTCGGTGACGGCTCAGAGCACCACTACCGGGGACTCTCAGAACCAGGGTTCCCATCCATCTCGGGGCCCCGAGGCCCGAGTTCTACCTTCCACCCCATCCTTTCTGGGGATCAGTGTAGGATTTACAACACCCGGCTGGCGGGAGCGGCTGCCAGGACTCAGTGCTTGCTCTGATGAGCACCACCCAAGAGCAGGCCACTCACCGATGCCCCCAAACGAGACCCCAGGCTCCGCGGGCAGAGACATTTACCCCAAGTCCACGTTCAGACACGTGCATCTAATTCCAGAGCCCTTCTTATCCATTTAAGTTCTCAACCAGCGGGTTTGTGGTTTGAAAAGGAAGAAAGAGAGAAAAGGCTGTGGGCAGAGACATGACTGGGGCCTCAGCCTAGGAGTAGTGATGCTTGTAAAGCTGGGATTTTACCCGCAGCTGCTAAAGCCTGAGGATGCCGGAAAAACACGCTGCTTATCCCCGGAAAAGTCACCTCCACCAGTAAAACTATCTTCCTGTACCTCTTTGCAGTTCCAATGACCTCTTGTGTTTTAATTGTCAAAGTGATATATAACAACTGTAAAGAACCTTAGAAAAAATATCACCCATAAAACCCCTCCCCTGCTACAACGCATCATTTTCATTTTTCTGGGCTATTTTCATATGTTAATTTAAATTGTGAGCGTTAAGAAAGAAGTGTGTACTTTCCCCAATTTTTCCACGTAAACATCTTCTTGGTTGTTAAGTCTCAACTATGAACATTTCAAATGTATAAAATTCCTTTGAGTAGATACATCTGAATATTTAGATATTAGTTCATCTTTAGACATTTAAGTTATTTCCTGGCTTTCATCATAAAGATGATAATGTGATAGAACCTCTTCATTTCCTTTCCCTGTGGAATTTTCACACACTAAACAACAGGGCATGACTACAAGCTCACTGTTAATGTTTCTTAAAATCCAGGGCCGAACATCCCACTTCCAGGTACATTTCACCCCAGTGTTGCAGCAGTGATGCACAGGCATAGACACACATGCACATATATGTATGTGTACACACACGTGTGCGTTTATACAGCTAGTGTACACATGTGCACATACATAAACATGTGTGTTCTATTAGTAGGTCTCATGAGCCTCCACTGCACATTACAGGTCAGGGACATCACCGGCCCTTACACAGCTGTGCTTTAGCCCTGAGTCCATGGGCCAGGGTTGACTAAACAACTAATCGACCAGAGACTAACCTTTGACCTATGACATCACCTGCCACAAACATGCACTGGGCCCATCAGAGGTGCCACTCAGGGATGACCCTGCTGAGACAGGAGCTGACACTGGAAGGGGCCCAGGGAGAAGCCGTTCGGGGAGTTTGGGTCATGGCAGGTTAGGGTCACGAGGAAGAACAGCAGGCCCGTGAGGATGCGGAGCCACAAGACACACAGCAGCCCTTCCACAGAGGGAAAGGCTCATGAGGGCACCAGGAGGAGGCCGTGGAGCGATGGGGGCAGGCGGGCGGCTGTCCACGCGGCACTGGAGCAGAGCTCCACACCTGGTGGACGCATGGGGTGGCCTTGGCCCGGCAGCCCTCTAGGCTTGTATGTGCAACCGCCCTGTCCTGTGAGTCCCTGGAGAGCCCTGTCCACTGAGAGGCCAGGGAGACCTTCGGTGCTCCCGAGGCTGTGCTCACTGTAGACTTTTCTTGTGCAACTCTCTGGTCAAGGATCGTATTGGGGTCTCCTGGGCGCAGAGAGATTGGGTCACAGGGCAGGCCCCGGCTGTCCAGGACGTGGCCCCCAGGCTGCCTGGCTCTGGCAGGACCCTTTCCAGAAAGCAGAGGCAGGAACTTCAGGAACCTCTGAGGCCCAGGGTCCCTGCCTCTAGACCTGAACTGTGAGGGTGCTGGCAGGCATGCTGTCCCCTTTGTGAGAGACGTGGGATGTGTGGCCACACCTCGAGATGGGGGCCACACTGTGGCCTCCCCCAGCACGCAGACCCAGATGAAGATGCTGCTCCTCTGGGGCAGGAAGGCCCCTGACACCTCCAGCCTCCCCCCATTTCTGAGTCTACCCCATCAGGGCCCGGATGTCTTGGCAGCTCCCCTGCCCTATCCCATCCCTGGGGATTCACGCCCCCTCCCCCTGGGCCAGGCCAAGATTGCTCCCATCTCTCCTCAAGGCCTCTTTCTGCTCTGGGTGCCACCTGCCCCTTCCTTGCAGCCCCTGCCCCACCTCAGCCTGCGGTCATGGATGTGACCCTAGTGCCACGTTGAAGGACAATCAGGACGCCTGGCTGAAACCCTTGGAGGGGAGCCAGCTGTGACCAGGTGTGCTTTTGTCCCACAGGTTATTTATTTCCTCACCGCATGAGAACTAGGAACTCAGTGCTTTTCCTTCTTGCTACTGTTTAACAGACCTGTAACTCGTCTGCCTCTGGAAACCTCTGCCTGTCCCAGGCCGATGCTGGAAGGCGTCTCCCTCCAGGCAGGGCAGATCAGTCCTCCTCCCCAGAAGCCCCAGAGGGCTGCACAGCCCACTCGGTGACGTCCATCCACCGCCCGCCTGGCCACGGTCCCCTGACACTCTGTGGCTGTCCCCTCAGGTGCACTGTCTCTCCACTCCAGGATCCGGGCCTCCCGTCAGCGTGAGGCCGCAGGGAGCCTCTCTGAAAGGCCTTCCTTGACCAGCTGGAGCTTCCTGTTCTTACCCACGGGCTCCCATCCATTTTGTGCAGCCCTAGAGCCGCATTGAGAAAGCACAGCCTCCATGGCAGGCCTGGGTTTGAACCCCACACACGCACGCACACACGCACGCAAACAAAAACTCATTTTTTTCTGTTTAGTTTGTGAGACTGTGGATTCAGGATGAAGTACGTCACTGCCCCTCACGGGTTTCAAGGGAGTATGAACAAGAGGCTGGTTTAGGCTCCGTAACAGAGAAGACGGGAATAACTGTCTGATCTGGACGACACAGGAACGCTATGATTTAAGAAGAGAAAACCCATCTACATCCACCGCCCGGGTTTCTAGAACTCCTCCCATCCTAAGCCACAGCCTTTGGCCACACACAGGCGGCCGTTTATTCACAGAGGAGACTTCTCGGAGAAGTGTCGGCACCAACGGTCTCTCCCCCTTCAGTTGCCCCTATTACCAGTTTACTGGCCACCTAAACCGTCTTGCTTCCCTTCTAGAGACATCTATTTAGCTACGAGGAGGAGAAATGTGAGAGGCAGAGGAGATGAGGCAACAAGGAGACAAAATTTAGTGACAAAATGATAGGCCCCCGAAGGGAAGTCAGAAGGGCCAAAGGAAAAACATCTTACATTCAGACAGCGTTTCTCCCAGTTACAAATTCACATGTAAGTGTGTAGGTTTTTATGGTTCTAATAAAACAGTGCCTTACATAGACTCTGGGTGGAGTTGTTCTGTAATAGGGGTGGGGCAGGTGTAACCTAAGCAGTCCTGCTCAGCCATTGGTCAGTGCCACAGTGAGCCCCTCCCCCAAGCAAGCAACTGTCAACAAGTGACCGTTAGTGGTCCCACTAAGCCATTGGTTGGCACTGCAGTAGTCCCCGCCCTCTCCTCTTCTGTATAAAAGGAGCCCAAATTTGGACTGGGACAAGATGGTTTTTTGAGACACTAGTCTGCCATCTTCTCAGTCTGCTAGCTTTCCAATTAAAGTCGTTCTTCCTTGTCCCAACAACTTGTCTCCTGATTTATTGGCCTGTTGTCTGCTGAGCAGAGTGAGCTTGGGCTCGGCAACAAATTTTGGTGAGCTGGCCAGGACCCTTGGTGCTTGTGGCTAGTTGGCCTCTGTTGGGGAATTTTCAGGTAAGGCCCTAGCAGCCACCGGGACCATTTGTCCTGAGGATCTTTCCTTCAGAATTCCCTGAAGTGGCACTGGCTGCCCCAGCGCTGGGCAGCTGAAGTGGGGAATCAACATTTGGGGGCCAAAGGGGTCTCACATAGTAGGGTAAGTAGCTCCAGTATATACAACTGGGAACATTTTCCCCTCTCAGTTTGGGCATTTTTCCTTTAAGGGAAAAGCCAATTTGTTCATTTGATTGGGGTACCCTGCTGGAGAGCGGAATTGTTGTTGGACTCTACCTGCTTTGTGAACCAGTTTGTTGGCTTTTGTTTTGCATTCATTCTTTTTTTTTTTTTTTTTACATCTTTATTGGAGTATAATTGCTTTACAATGGTGTGTTAGTTTCTGCTGTATAACAAAGTGAATCAGCTATACTGCATTCATTCTTGATGGAATCTCTTTGTGCTTTTGGTATTAGAATTTGCTTGTGCTTTTTGTGTTTTGTTGTTCTTGAACTTTTTAAAAATTTTATTTATCTATTTTATTTATCTTTTTGGCTGTGTTGGGTCTTTGTTTCTGCACATGGGCTTTCTCTAGTTGCGGTGAGTGGGCTGCTCATTGTGGTGGCTTCTCTTGTTGTAGAGCACAGGCTCTAGGCGTGTGGGCTTCAGTAGTAGTGGCGTGTGGGCTCTAGAGCACAGGCTCAGTAGTTGTGGTCCACGGGCTTAGTTGCTCCACGGCATGTGGTATCTTCCCGGACTAGGGCTCGAACCCGTGTTCCCTGCATTGGCAGGCAGATTCTTAACCACTGTGCCACCAGGGAAGCCCACTGAACTTATAAATAT